TAATTTTCTTCTACCGCTCCTATGTATGCAAAGGATGATCATTAGCAAGCAGCTAAGATGTCGTTATAAAGAGCATGAATTACTCTTTCATAAAAAAATAAAAGCAGTCAAATTGGTTGGAAAAGTCAGAAGTTATGAATTTTCAAATGGTGCGACAGAATTTTCGTGCCAACCTAATATTATATTAGGTCGTTCTGAAATTAATGCCGCTTTCTTCAAATGAACGCCACAGTTCGTAGAACAAAGATTTCTAAGAGTCCCTGGTTGCATTCAATGGATCTCGGAAAATAAGCAAAATATGCGACCCATGCTTTTTGAGATGGCCAGCTTTCGCAATTTTTCTCAATTTTTGTTTTAACCTTCCGAAGGAGTCCGTGTAAGGATTCGATAGAGCAAACCTTAGAGAACACGGTATATTTTTTTCTCTTTTTCGGATCCCGCCATAATTTTTTAAACCATTTTTCAACAAAGGCATCGGATTTTGGCGGGCCTACGTCAGCCATAGTCACATCAAAAGTCGATAATTTTTCGGAATTTGAAACTTCCAAGACAGTACTATAATTTAACATTAATTTTACAAAGCAAGTGAAAATTTGCAGGTTCAAAATATCAAATTTCGAACTTTTCGCGTACAGCCTTGGGCGCGTTCAAAAACATGAGTTATAATGATTTTGTCCCCGAAGACTCCACGAATCGGAAACAGTAAACACCCGTTAAAAAGACGAGAAAAAGCTGCATCGAATAGCGCCCGAACTGCTCTCCCTTCGATTTGTGCGAGGTTTTACTTGACCAAGTATGGGAATTGGTTGCATCTGTTAAAATTATTTTAGAAGAGTACGACAAGCTGTGGAGAGGAGAAAAAATTGTTTTGTATCCTGTTAGGTTTGCTCTATCAAATCATTACTCGGTCTCCTTCGGAGAGTTGAAGCAAAAGTTGAGAAAAATTGCGAAACTTGAGCATCTCAAAAAGATGGGTCGCGAGTTTTTCTTATTTTCCGAGAGTTCACTGAAACTGCTGCAAAGGTTTTATAACAATTAGGAAGAGGATGAAATGCTGCATCGAATGCCGCCAAAGATTCTTAGAAATCTTCGTTCCACGAACTATGGCGTTCAATTGAAAGAAGCGACATTACTTTCGGAACGAGCTAATATAATAAGGGGGATAGCATAAGAGAAAACCTTCGCAGATGCAGTGCTCAGTGTGAATCCTGTCATAGCTGCGCCAGTCACCACCATCTATCCTCAACATTATAGGCTGCTGCATGACGAAGGCGCAATATCTTTGGGCGACAACGCGGCTTTGTTAGTCGCAGAGTGCTCGAGGTGCGGGATTCACAATGCTAAAGATAAGCGCGCGCCGCGTTTGCGCCCGCTCAATTAATTCGGCTTCTGCACCCTCGTCATGCAGTAGCCTTTACATTCTAAATTAACAGGAAAGAGGACGAAGAAAAGAAACTTTTGAGTGGAGGGCAAGGATAGCGTCTAGAGCGCAACGCACGTCGTTTCCAGGTGACAGTACCACCAAGTTGAGGGACCTCATAAGACACGTTGAAAGCCTGTTCAGTTAATCAATCGAACTCCTATTCAAGTGGAAAGTCTGTTTCAAGTTGGCACATCAAAGAAGAAGGCCTTAGTTTTATTAGCAAAAGGATTCGCGTTCTATGAGGCGCGAACTTTATCTAGAGAGTATCTGCCTCCGTCATCCAAAAACACTGAAGGACAAATGCAGAAGGTGCGCGAACTTGGGAAACCGCTTAGCATTGTGTTCCAAGTTAGCTTCGTTCGCTAGCAGTCGGCTTAGGGAGGAAGCGAGTACGGATGAGTTTGCGCTTGATACTGACCGTTATGGCTAGAGGAGGCTCCAAGATGGGGCGAAGTGCCACTAATTAGAGGAGCGGACTAGGAAGATCGCTGTATACAGCACAGCTGGTATAGCCCCTTAGGCCCCGGGCAGACTTCACGCGATTTGATCGTCGCGACTGAATCGCGACGAGACAACTGATACGAGTTCATTGCATGCCGACCAGCTTGCATTTCGGTTGTGGTACTTTTCCAGCCCGATATTTTTGAATGTGAAATGAAAATGAATGGAAATCTTGGCGATTAGATCGCGACGATTAAGTCGCGTGAAGTCTGACCGGGGCCTTACACGACGGCGGCAAACGATACAGTATCAACTTATCAGAAGTAGTATCAACTTACTATAGGTTGTCCGCGCTGCGCGCGGAGAGCAACGCTGTTGCGTCCAGTGAAGATAGTTGAGCGCAGAGAAAAACAGGCGGCGAGAGTGCACGGGGAAGGAGGAGTGACGCGCAATACACACCTTGCGCACTCTCCGCGCCCTGCGCGGACGGCCTATAGAACACGTGGACAAAGGCAGTATGGGCTGCAAGGGAGGAAGAAGCGGGAACAACATGGACAACAACTTCAGAAAAAAATGAACAATGACAATACAGACAATCAGAAATTGGACAAAAACTCAATAAAAGTCTGCATGCACGCCCACGCGCAGATTTGAACGTGAAAGATTCCACAAACATCATCAAAGATATAGCATCACACCTTACCTAGTGTTAGGACGCGAAGGAGGCGTGTAACATCTATTACTCGCCGTACTATTTTGTTTAGTTGCTGTGTTATTTTGTTGACATATTATCTTATTTTGTGTCCTCTTGTCATATATTTGTTTTGATCTCTTAATGCCTCGATGTCAATTTTTTCATATTCACTAAGTCGCATTAGGTCCGAAGTTATGGGGTCATTAAGCCTGTCTTGTTTGCATGTTCGAGTGGTCAGACTTGATATCCGCGTTTAACTGGATCTATCTAGACACTCTTTTATCGGGTAAAACAACTGTAGCTAGTAAGATCGATGTGACCCGCACATGTTGATCTTGGCCTACATTTTTGAATGAGCTTCAAACAATAGGCCAAAAAGTGTTATTAAGCGATTATGAGAAACAGATCAGGTAGGGTGAAACATATTTCAAAAGCATAACAATGTAAACGGCAATTCATAAGCAAATGGAAACTCTGTAAAAAGACATGGATTAAGATAGAATTGAGTACGCAGATATAATTGCACTTGTATCTTGAACAAGTATTAGGATGATCACTAAAACATGAAACAGCTTAATTTTTGTCAAATTTTGAGATTTTTTGTTTCGATCAACAACAAGCAGGCTGCGTGAACGTCGCTTATATTAGGTCGTCCCAAAAGTATTTTCGCTTTTTTTTTTGAACAAGCGCCACAATCCGCAGAACAAAGGTTAAACAGAAGCTCTTGGTAGCATTCGATGCAGTTTTTTATTCTCTTTTAAGTGGCCATCTTTATTTAGCAGTTGAAACAATGTGCTATCAGAAAATTGCGATAAACTGCGACCCGTGCTTTTTACCAAGGTCAAGTTCCACTATTTTTCTAAATTCTTATACTGATCCCCCTAAGAAGTCCAAGTAAGTAGCGGATAGAGCAAAGAAAGTAGGATACAAAACGAAAGAGGAGAAAGTGCTGCTTCGAATAAATTTCAATCTCCTTCCCAAGGCTCCCCATAACTTTTTGACAGAATTTTGAACAACACCGTCGAAGAAGAAATTCCATACCAAACGCAGACCCGTCAAACTTCACTAAACTCTCGATTTTTGATACTTTTAAAGTGGATTAGGATTAAGCACTAATTTTACGAAACAAATGAGCGTTCCGGGGTTCGAAATATCTGATTTCTAATTTGTTGCGTATAGCCTGGGGTTTCTTGAAAAACATGAATCTTGTCGATTTTATCTTCCAAGACTTCTCGAATCAGGGACAAAAAACATGTCCAAGAAAGAGGAGAAAGTGCTGCTTCGAATAACACCCGAGTTGCTCGCCGGCTATTGTTCTATGAGGCTTAAGCTGACCAAATATGGAATTTGATAGCATCGAGAAACTAATTTTAAAAAATTTTCGAAGTAAGATATCGAATGGACAAAAATTGTATTGCATCCTACTTTGTTTGCTCTATCGACAGGTCACTTGGACTTCTTCGGGAAATCAGTGCAAGAATTTAGAAAAATAGCTGAACCTGACCTTGATAAAAAGCATGAGTTGCAGTTTGTAGCAATTTTCTGAGAGCTCTTTGCATCATCTGCATTATAAGCTGAACATCAGAAAGAGCATGAAAAACTGCATCAAATGCTGCCAAGAGCTCCTGTATACCTTTGTTCTGCGGACTATGACGCTTGTTCAAAAAAAGCGAAAATACTTTTGGGACGACCTAATATAAGCGACCTTCGCCTATTATTCTGGCAAAACGTCAACGCTCCTCTCCCACAACCCTACGCGTAGCGCCCTGAAGAACTCGAAAAGGGTTTTCTAAACCGCGCTGATTCTTGCGCTGGCATACCGCAAAGTTATAAAGCAGTTGATGTATCATTCGAAAGAGCTGTTCATGCTCTTTCAAATAGTATACGAAACATACAGAATTTTTTTTCTATTCTGGGTGAAGGAAGCGAAAATCGCGATTTTTTGGCGCAACAAAAACCAGTAAATCAAGTTTCAATCTATTTTCCGAAGATAGATAAAATGTGAGGTAAACTGCATATGGATGGATAGAGCGTAAAAAGCTCTTTCAGATGGTACCTATAGAACATGCGTTCACATGCAAAGCATTGAATAGCACGTATCTTTGTTCTCAAAGCTGCTAATGGCCATATCTCCTGAATTTGAAAGTTTACACCAGCAGCCCATCGTGGGTCTGGTGACTGTACCTTCACGCATTGCAGCAGTAGTACTTTGGATGGTTTCGCATGTTTCACTGCGCAGATACTGCTCGAAGTTTATAATTTGTCAAAGTGACTAACTTTGCGTTTCAGCCACTATAGAAATTATGAGTTATGTAAATGACCTTATATAGGATTTTCTGAAAGAGAATAATCTATTCTAACATCAGTCAAAATTAGAAAGTTTAATCTTTTTCTTTTTTGAAAAATCTATATTTATTCTCTAGGTGCCCCATTTTTTAGTGATCACCCTAATACTTCCATTTTCCCTTTTTCGGCTTCATCGTGCTCAAATATTATTCGTGAGGCATATCCATAACAATTACGAAGCTCCATAGCTAACGACATGACAAACACCTGAATTGCTAGCACCATGCCCCACTCGCTACTGCTTGCTATGATGAATGTTCGATAAGTCTAAAAAATCCTTTTCTCATCGTTTTGTAAAGTATAAACTTACCGGTGAGTCTCTTAAGCGCGAAGATCTGTCAATTCCTGGGAAGGGTCCAGCGTCATTTGGATAAAATGTAGAAGTAAAAACTGCCAGAAAATCTAAAAAACCAAATTACGTTGCTACATCTATCTTAAAATAAATCCAAGGATACGTTGTTGCATGTATGTTTTGGATGTATGTGACTTTGCATAACTTGATGCGTAATCGAGTAACTGTACTTCACTACAATCCCACATGAAGGTAAACTTGTTAGTTTCAATGTATCAGCAAATGACACTGTTTGGTATAACCACTGCTAGTTTGCAAAGTTGAAAAAGACATCATATATGTGTCAGTGATGCTAAAGTATGGGTGGTTAAGATTAGGTTTTGGTGTTTTTGTTAGCAACATGCGCGGCCATGTCAAGACAGCAATTCAAAAACTAGTTTTGATTCATCAACTTATCACACATAGATCTGTAGAAATGAAGCCGAAGTTTACTGTTTTCTGTTTTTCTGTTTGTGTGCATGCGCGTCTACGTGTGTACATGTGCGCGAAGAACGTTGCGCGTTGCGAACAGAATTCTTTACTTTCCAACCGATCCGGACCAAACTTTGTACACATACACTTCGGACAGGGTGAGTGTCGTATGCCACATTTCTTCATTGACCGATATTGATTTTATCGATTTTTTCCCCACCTACGAGGCTGGGAGTTGGGGCTGGGCAGTGGGCATGCTGATTACGAATATGCTATTGACAAAGCCGGGTGGAGCTGGGTTGTCTAGACAGCTATTCAACAACTAGTTTTGATTCATCAACTTATCACACATAGATCTGTAGAAATGAAGCCAAAGTTTTCTGTTTTCTGTTTTTCTGTTTGTGTGGATGCGCGTCTACGTGTATACAGGGCTCCTAAGTTGCAGAGTCGTTTGCACCAGCGGTCGCGCGACCGCGTCGCGCCCGGGCATTTTGCCGGCGCCGGCGCCATCGATCGAGGCGGCGCCATTGATGTCGCGCGACCGCTGGTGCAAACGACTCTGCAATTTAGGAGCCCTGTACATGTACGCAAGTTTCAAACAGAATTCTTTACTTTCAAATCGATCCGGACCAAACTTTGTACACATACACTTCGGACAGGGCGAGTGTCGTAGGCCACATTTCTTCATTGACGGATATTGATTTTATCGATTTTCTTCACCTACGAGGCTGGGAGTTGGTGTGGGCAGTGGGCATGCTGATAACGAATATGCTATTGACAAAGCCAGGTGGAGCTGGGTTTGCTAGCCGTTAAAATTTAGGTTTTTTTGTAGGAAACCTGCAAGACAAGACTGCTTACTGTTAGGGCTTTGCCAAAAGCAATCATTCACAGAATGTGGGAATCAGATGCAAATTCATGTGAATTTTGCTCTCGCAATCATTCATCAAGAAGAGATATGGCAGTCAGCTGTGTCATTGACATCCCAAAGTGAACAAACTGTACGAATTTAATTTTTGCTTAAGTCATTTTAACATTCTTCACAATGGACTTCGAAACCTCATTACAAGATTGTGAAGAATACACAATGCAAGAATTACCAAAGAAGGAACCCAAGAAGCAGTGATGACCTGGAATAAAGTATGAACATAAGATGCATCTTGATGTGCCGATCTGAGCGAAACTTTGTAAAAGCTATGAGCTGCTGAAAAGAGGATTCAGCGATATCCAAAGCGATACATCCAATGATTAAAAGCTAAAAAAATTCATCAAGTTTCTGATGAATGTATTTCTTCTTGTAGTCATTAAAAACAACAGTATGCGAAAAGGGCGCGGCACGAAGTGGGCAAATGACAGGCTGAAGATCGTTTTGGGTGAAAAAGCAAAAAGAATATCGTTTTTGAGGGGTCCGTGGCGAAGCCCCGGAAAGAATTGGTAGTTTATGCTCTCTTGACTCAACATGTTATGTGCCTCAACAGGCGAACACTGGAATTTGCGCGCGCCAAACGACGCTTTCGCTAATTGCCGCATGCGCGACGTCGCTTAAACGATGCTACCTGTAACAACATGCATGAGTAGTTCTCAACGTATGAGTAACCATATGGCACCAAATTGAGCGAACGGAGAGAAGCTAGTGGAAACAAGGTATGAAAAATTATCGAAAACTCAATATGAATGGAGGGTGTAATAAGCGATTTTTCCAAGAATCTTACCTAACTGGTAAATGAAGATGTGAATTCAAATGGCTCGTTTTGCAACGCGCTGAGCATGAAACGGAGCCGCAGAAAATGACTGAGAAGTTTCATTGAAGAATTATTTGACTGAAGGTTGTGGCAAGTTTTTTTCGCTATCAAAAAATGGAGAAGTGGATTTGCAACGCAGAGATGACGAAACTGCGCGAGAATTGTGTATATGCGCAGTAGAACTAAGGAACAAAGTAGGGTAGGGGCAGGGGAAAAATTATGAAAAACTTATGTGACAGAAGAGCGTGCCAACTCTTTTCCAAGATAGGTGGGCAATTGCCAACCCACCTACCTGAGCTAGGGGAAAACTTCCAATTCGTGTAAGCTTTTTAAATTCTTACATGAGTCCGTTTTACATCTAAACCTCAGTATGCCTAGTAACAGTTTAGTTCCAAAACTCCTTTTTTTCTCCTTGTTGGGATCAGTAATATCAACGACGGCGGATATTTTGGAGGAGAAAGTGCGCTCCAATTGAACAATCTGCATAGCTAGCGGGATAAAATGGAAAATCGTGAAAATCGATAGTGGCAAAGGCGAAGTCGTTTCACCGATTACCATTTGTCACCCTCGTGCTGAGCATCGTGCCAAATACGTTCTCTCAAGCTGAACCTCAAAGCACATTATGCATTACATCCCTGTGACTTCGCACTTTCACGCTCCTAACTACTTCTAAAAAATCGCTGATCAGATATTGGTAAGCAGCTACGTATGATACTCATTTTGTCCCATACTGCACTGCGACTTTGGATCCTTTCCTTGTGAGTGAAGCATTATGAGAGATAGCACATCATTTGTAGAAATATTTTCATAACTGATGAAACACCTCTTTTTTGACCATGCAAGTATATGACATACGCTTCATAGATATATATATATTAGGTCGTTCCGAAAGTTCTTTCCGTTTTTTCAGCCTATCATAAAAAGACGTGGAATGAGTGTAGGGAAACGCTTTGGGCACTATACGACGCAGCTTTTCTTCCTCTTTCTAGCAGTCATACTCCAATGTCGCTTACTCTTGTGATCACTGAGATGATGGCCGAAATTTCGAACCCATGGTTTTTACCATGTTCAACTTTGGCAATTTTTCACAATCTTCTTTTTTGACTTTTGGGAAAGCTTTGATAACGGCCAGATAGAGTAAACAAAGTGCAATACAATGCAATTTTTTCGCATATCCAGCTGGCCTTTCAGTATTTTTTGAGATAATTTTTCCAAAAGTCTTCACTTTTTGCAAAGTCCCAAAATACAGAAACGCCCGAACACCTGCAAATCTACGGATTTTAAAGCTTTCAAAAATTACGATTATCCACAATTTTTGAAAAGCAACTGAGCGTTTACCGCTTGGAAATATAAGGTTTCGCATTTTACGTGTACAGGCTGGGGCGGGTTCAAAATCAAGAATTATGGAAACTTTATCGTCAAGGACCCCACAAATTTGAAAAAAAAATAAATTCATTAGAAAGAGAAGGAAAATCTGCATCGAACGATACCTTAGTTGTGCGCCGTCTTATGTTCTATGGCTCTCGGCATCCTCAAAAATGGAATTTGATAGCACCAGGAAAATAATTCTAAAAAATTTTTTAAGCTAGCTATCAACGCCGAAAAATTGCATCAAATTGCAGTTTTTTACTCTATCTGGCTGTTATCAAAGCTTTCCCAGAAGTTAAAAAAGAAGATTGTGAAAAATTGCCAAAGTTGGACATGGTAAAAACCATGGGTTCGAAATTTCGGCCATCATCTCAGTGATCACAAGAGTAAGCGACATGGGAGTATGACTGCTAGAAAGAGGAAGAAAAGCTGCGTCGTATAGTGCCCAAAGCGTTTCCCTACACTCATTCCACGTCTTTTTATGATAGGCTGAAAAAACGGAAAGAACTTTCGGAACGACCTAATATATACAGTGACCGCCAAAAAGTTGCGGACAAGCCTCCCTCCCTTTTTCATCGCTCTATTTCAGAAGGAAAACAAGGATAAAAAATGTAGTAAATGCATGCGGTGATAGAGCTCTTCAAGATCTACAATCTACACTTTGCATTTTTCGAAAAAACATGTATTCTAAAATTTTAAAAAACTTTTTCTGAAAAAAGTCGGAAAATGGCCGCGTCACAATGTCGCGGACAATAATTCTTCGAACGCAAAAATTTTTTTTGAGTCCTGTTCTGAAGCGGAAACACAAGTAATCCAAACGGGTAAGCGTACTACTATACAGAGCTCGTCAAGAACTACACACTGGTTATGGTTGCTTCCCAAAAAACACAAGCTTGAGTTTTATTTTGCTTTTTTTTCAAAAATATCTTCTAATTCTCCTTTTTAAGCCAAGTTTCTTTACATGGAAACCTATTCACGACATTCCAACAACTCTGTTCGGATAAAGTAGATGCTCTTTACCATACTCCATGCATCTGACGTGTGCTGATGAGTTTCTTTGCTGAAAATGGCTTCTAACAGTGCGTGTACATGACCCCACCTGCATTTCACCACTGACATGTACCGCTTTGCAGGCTTGTAACTCGGCTTGTAGTCAATTTGTGGGCCTGCAATTAGGCTCATTCGAAAGAACGAGACATCCTCTACACGATGATATGCAAAAGAGATGGGTGTAAGAAACAGCGGAGATTTGGCGGATGGGGTGGAAAAATGCGGCCTCAGTGGTGGTTGGAGTGAAGGCTCTTATCGACACTAAAACAGTTCTAGAGCTTCAAAATGGATCTATTACAAGAACATTGACAGTTTTAAACCTCCAGGATTGAACTGGTAGCGAAAGAAGCTCTATTCAACTTTAGCTGGATATCCTCACCCTACCACGGAGGCTGCATTTTTCCACCCCATCCGCCAAATCTCCGCTGTTTCTTATACCCATCTATTTTGCATATTATCGTGTAGAGGAGCCTAATTGCAGGCCCACAAATTGACTATAAGCCGAGTTACAAGCCTGCAAAGCGATACAAGTCAGTGGTGAGGTGCAGGTGGGGTCATGTACACGCACTGTCAGAAGCCATGTTCAGCAAAGAAACTCACCAGCACATGTTCGATGCATA